ACTCCGAGTGCCAGCCCCGCTCTCCTCTCTTTGCAGGTCCCCGGGGAGCGGCCTCTACAGCAATCTGGAGCAGTACAACATCCCCTACCCAGAAGCCATCTTCGAAGTGACCTATTTCTTTGTCAACCCTAAGCCCTTTTTCACTCTGGCCAAGGAGCTCTACCCTGGCAACTACAGACCCAACTACGCCCACTATTTCCTGAGACTCCTGCACGACAAAGGGCTCCTCCTGCGCCTCTATACCCAGAACATCGACGGGCTGGAGAGAGGTGAGTTTTCTCTTCCCCATCTCTTGGGAGCAGAGCACTGGGAAGAGGCGAGGGTGAGAAGCAGAACAGGAGGCAGGACTGGGGAAATGCCCGCTAAACATTGAGTTTCTGGTGCCGTCCCCTCACGCTGAGCTGGTCCTCTCCCACGCGCTGTGTTCCAGCTGCTGGGATCCCTCCCGATAGACTGGTGGAAGCCCACGGCACCTTTGCCACTGCCACTTGTACGGTCTGTCGAAGGAAGTTCCCAGGAGAGGACTTCAGGGTGAGTGGGCGCAGCAGGGCATTGACACCTAAATTAATGCAAGGAGAAGAGCCCCTTGCAGGCCTGTTATTTCAGTGTTGGGGCCAAGAGGTAGTGTTGGAGGGGACCAGACTTGGGCAGGACGTTGCCGTGAGGATGCACTGTGGTTCTGACCCTGCTTGTGCAGGTAAACACTGCCCGGTAACGAGGAGTGTTGGGTGCTCTTGCTTCAGGGGGACGTCATGGCAGACAAGGTCCCTCAGTGTCCCGTCTGCACTGGAGTCGTCAAGCCTGACATTGTGTTCTTTGGCGAGGAGCTCCCGCAGCGCTTCTTCCTGCACATGACCGACTTCCCCATGGCAGACCTGCTTTTCGTCATCGGAACGTCCCTCGAGGTCCGGGACTAAGGGAAACCCCTGCTCACAAGCAGGAAAAGGCACATGGAAAACAGGGCCTAAGGGGGACTGTGGAGGAGAGAGGTTTAGAGAAGGCGGCGAGAAACTGGGTTATTGAGGTAAAATTTGAGGTGGCAGGGTAAGAAACAGGGTGCATGTACATGAGACACCCTCTGAAAACCTGGTGTGCTTCTGGGAAAGGAGTTCTCCACTGACAGAACAAGAGTTTCACAGGTACCCGAGGAAAGGCCGCCGGGTAACCGGTGGCACCCCTAGCCTGTTCCAGCTGGGGTAGCGTAGCCCACAGCGGGAGAACTGTCGAGCACAGTGGTTACAAGCTCGGCGCGCAGCGCGTTCACGCCCGCAGTGCCCCTCAGCAGCGTGACTGTCTCTCTCTGCTCCTTGGGGTTGCCTTCCTTCAGGTGGAGCCCTTCGCCAGCCTGGCAGGAGCCGTCCGCAGCTCCGTGCCCCGAGTCCTGATCAACCGAGATCTCGTGGGACCCTTCGCCTGGCAGCAGCACTGCAGTGACGTAGCCCAGCTGGGGGATGTGGTCAGTGGCGTCGAGAAGCTGGTGGAGCTGCTGGGCTGGACTGAAGAGATGCAAACACTAATTCAGAAGGAAAAAGAAAAGGTGGGAAGGGGCTCAGAGCCTCATCTCCCTCCCTCAGCCTCTTCGTTCCGTGGGCTGGAGTTATTCTGGGCGTGGGGAGCAGGTTTGGGCTTGCTGGGGTTAGACTTGCACCACAGACCTTGCCATGCTTGCAGTCTGCATTCAGAGAAAAGCATCACAGAAAAGTGAAAAAAGGTTAAAAAAAGCCCCGACAAACCTCAGTGCTGTTTCACAGTGGAGGTGACAGAGCAGCATGCTGCGTTGCTGAATGTTTCAGGGGTACAGAAGGGGAGGGGATGTGGATCTGCCTGCCTCAGATGAAACAGGAATATGGAAGAGGCCAGGCTTTGGGCTGAAAAGCCCTGTAGATGAAGGTGCAGCTTCCCGGAGCTGGAAGCGACCAACCAGAAAATCCCCTCTGTGGTCTGTATCAGATTAATCCAGCAGAATCTTGTAAGTCAGCAGAGGACTCGCCTTTGCACTTCAGCAACACAAAACATGGGCGTTCTCCTCTTCAGGCAGCGCTTCCCTCGGATGCGTGCGAGGGGACTGGAAAGCTCGGCTGAGCGGGCAGACGGGCAGTGGGCGCGCTCGCAGGTGCTGCTGTTCAGGAGGTGGTTTTTTTACACCGCTTCTTCCCTGGCTGAGAGCTCAAGCCTGTGATGTTGCTCATGGTACATTAACACAAACCCAGGAGGCAAGCCAAGCATCACCTTAGTGGAGTTTTAATCCCTCTGTACATTTGTTTAATTGCTTTGGTTTCATTTCTAGTGGTTTTTCTGGTCGTTGTGAGAAATAAGTAATAGCAGTAACAAAAGGGAGGCTCAAATTGTGCTACGTCTGTGGCCAAATGAGGTGCTGCAGTGGCCAGAGTTGTGACAAGCAGCAGGCAGGAGTGAGGGTACTGGCTCCACCTGACAGCACTGAATTAACTAAAGACTTGGCTCTTTTCCCCTGCTGATCATTTACCTCACTGTGCCATTCTTACATCTGTAATCTTCCGAGATCTTCAGAAGCGGGAAACTGTAGGAGAGCAAGTTCTTAATTACTTTGAGCTTAGTGCTGATGTTAATTATTACATTACTTTAGACCTGCTGGGAAGGTTTTTCCACATTTGGCATCCAACACTTTTTAAACTTCTCATTTAAGCAGAAGTTGTGACTCGTGGGCTGGGCCAGCTCTTCCCCTGGTGTAAGCGGGCACAG